GACGGGCATTACTAGCTGATATAGGTGCAGGTTGGAAAAGAGTAAGTGGTGGCCAAACAAAAACATGGCATCAGTCCATGAAATCCTTGACAGTTAAACTCAGTCAGGTAGGGAGATGCAGACTTCCGGGTTGGGGCCCCCGAGACTCTAAGAATCAATGGCTGGAGACAATAGGTGACATGGCTCAAAATCGTTGTCAATGGTACGCAGATGTATTCAGTCTCTTTAACCTTCATACTCCTTTCTACCATTACTCATTCTGTTTCACTCTTATACTTGTCAAAACTCTATTGTTTCCCTGCACTCATCTTCTTGTCTTCCTTGTGTGCTATTTGGAACGTGGCAACTCGAACTGCTGCACTTCGGTGCCAAGTTCTATGTTGAATCCAGACAGACAGACATACATGTATTAACAGAATTGTCTTTCACTCACTTGAAGGACTTACCAGGGAACAGTCTTGTCAACTTAGTGTATGCGAAGTGGAAACACATCTGAGGAAATATGTTTTGCTTTTTACCAACTAAATATAATATTTTTCAAGTGTGGAATGTAACAAATCGAACTGCTACACTTCTCTATTGAGTTCCATGTTAAAACTCAGCCAGTCAGCTTTGTCACTGCAGATGCGTAGTGTCACAACTCACTGCAGTGTTAATTGGCTCAAACAATTATGAATGCCGTTTCTTAAGTACTCTATGCATTTCCCAATTCCTTAAATTGTCCAGATAAAGTGCACTGAAGAAAACATTAACCAAAAGTCAGTAACACGGACATAAGAATTAGTGTAAATAGAAGTGAATGAGATGGGTGATTTTTTTAAACCTGTAGTACGCTTAACTGAAATACTCATGTATATGAATGAAGCTGTATCGTTCACAAGATGGTTGTATCAAAGAGGGCACTGAAACATAAACTAAGTCTAACATGAAATACCTTGGAGTTGTTATATCCTCTGGTCTTTCTTGGTAACTCTATATCTTGTCGATTTCTGTAATGTAATCTTTACAACTGTTTCGAATATTACTTCATAAAATTAGATACAATGATGTGCGAGATGCTACAAATTCAGTACTGTAACACTAATATTGTTTTCGGACAAAGGAAATTATTGTTACTGTCGCACCTCGCTGCAGTGTTAATCTGCTTATACCCTTATTATTGCCGTATCCTAAGTATTGCACTAATTTTCTCATTTCCTTGCACTGTATAAATAGGGTGCAACGAAGAAGTAACAGTGAACTGTAAGTAAGTAACGCTGACGCGAGAAATGGTACCAGTTGAAAGAAATGAAATGAGTTGAAGACTTTGTAATAATACTAGTAATCTCCTTTATTCCAAAACAGTACTTGACTTATTTACCTATGCATTTTAACGTGTCTTCTAATTATCTTATTTTTGTCTTTGTAGACATTGCCTAAGATGCCGTTGTACGCATCGTCTGGAAGCAGCCTTTAATTTCATCTACCTTCCGCGAAGTTTGTCGTACGAAACGTCGAAATTTTACTGACCGGAAAACGCTACAATTGGTATTTATGTTACTGATGCAGCGATACACAAGACTAGACACGTTATAGCAACGTATGCCTGTAAAAACATTACCTACATAGTAAATACCATGCTAATTACAAAAACTCGTCATTGTCTTTTTATTGCGTACTTACAAGAAAAAAAGTTTACCTTACTTCTCATACTAAGTACTCAAGATTCCACCTAGTACTGACTTCTACTTGCTCTCTATAAAATGCTTTCTACTATATTCGCAAATGACTCTTGAAATTTGTCACATGAAACGGTAAAACATAAGGCTACACAGTTTAGAATTTATGGTATATTTGCAGTTATTGACACAAAATATATGTACATCTTCCATTTTCAAACAAGAAAACTCTCAGAGTAATTCAGCGTTACTCGCAGTGCACTAACAGTGTATTCATTTCTGTAATTATCCTGCATAACTGCGTAGCTTCTGTTCAATTGTCTGAGAAGTTGCAGTATCTCCCTGCAGGGTTTCTTCACTGGACCTTCACACGGCACACTACTTGGTAGCAACGGATCATGCCGAAACCATCTGCGACACAGGCGAATTACTTTGTCAACTAAAAATATTAATTGAAATATTAGTAAGAGTTTGATTTACCTGTAAACTGAGGAATTTGAGTGTGACATAACAGCATATTCCGGCAAGGTATTCTTTGTGCCCTAAAAATTCTGCAGGTACAAGTAGAATTGGTATAATCCACTTGGTGCAGGTATATGCCGTCATTTATGATAGCCATATCATCAGTATACAACTCTATGCTCATCCGGCGATTACGGCCATAGTCCTAGGCAATTAACTTAGCGGCATAAAGAGTGAAGTTTCGTAATATCGGCATAACTGGTTCTGGTGCGTGGTACTTATGAATCCGACAACTTGCGACGATGACTTCAACACTCCTACGCTTCTCTGTGCGTACACACCATTTATACGTCTTGTACATACATACGTGTAGGGGATCTCTTCTGTGGAGATATCGTTTTAGGTGACTGAGAGCTTTCAACTCTATTGTTGGTACTATTAAACAGCAACAGAGTATTCGGCATATATGCCGCAGCCCACGTCTCCTTCTTAGGCACCCAGTAATGCCCGACATAATTTCACACCCTCCGATCAACCGTCCTAATGACATTAAGGTAGTGATGAAATCTAAGCGGTTAGAAATTAATGCATTTACCTTTCTGGTGTCGCAGCTTTAACAAGACGATATAAAAACCCGCGCACAAAAGAATTTCGAGTCTAAGTGCATCAAGTATTAATTAAATTCACCTCACCTTCCTGCTGAAAGCCCGGCATACATGAAATGCACAGATGACGATTTTCGCCTGAATTTGACTATTACGCACGGCGGATATCTCACAGTTGGCCGAATCCATTACGAAAGTTTCTGTAATGGACATATCCTGTACTATTCTTTGGAATTGTTCCAATATCCAAGCTACATCACATGACCTCTCTCGTCTCGTCCATGCCAAAAAAACTGGCCTGCCAGTACCCATATTGTTTGTTACCACCAACTGAAACAGAGAATATCTGATTAAGATTTGTCAACCGTTTCACGTATAACCTACCCGTCCTTATTGGTATTGTATGTTGAGTCAATACACACCACCTCTCCATATTTCCGATATAACTGAACCTGTGATTCCAGGGCGAAGCAAATTCTGCTGGTTATCCCTGTATTCGAATCCACGTATTCAACCACCTGACCGCTTTGCCTTATTATGCGCATAACATCTGATCTCAAAGGCATGGCTTCAAAAATTACTTTAAACTGCTTCAATTACCTGGTCTCACATCCTTACGTAAATTATACAAATCTGTGCTCGTCAAAATTTTATTAAAATTCTCTTCAGCATATTCCAAAACATCAGCAACCTCAGATGTAGTCTTCACAGCTGGTGCAATATTCTCCTTTTCATCCCCGGACAGGCGTCTAAAATATGGATCACCTATCATAAGACTTTTTTCACATTTGTGATTGTGAACTGTTTTCGCGGAAGAAATAATAAACTCGTCCTCCTTGTAGCGTATACGAAAGCCAGATTGGCAACCGGTGTATTTCGCACTGCAGAAATAAATAATAGAATTCTTACGGTTTGACGCGTAAACCTAAACCTCTAGTTTTTCGCTTCATGCCATATGTACAACGAAAGACTGCTAATTTGTACTTCAAATCCTGAGATTCATGGTCCCGTATGCACTTTTTGGTTACATAATGTGTATGAGACGCCTAGGAATACTCTGTCATACATATATACATATATTACTGATTCCAGCTGACTTAGAGCATCTTCCACTTGAACCCAACTGGTATACCCGTGACTAAGCATAATTCCGTCAAAAAGTTTTTTGATATCCACTGATATGGGAATGGCAGGTTGGTCGCCATTGTCTTCAAGTGCCAATGCGTCCATTTGGTACCACTGTAAATGAAAACAGCTTTCAATAAAAAATTCATGAATAGCCAACAGAGCACAGTAAGCAACTTAAAAGAGACATTGACTTGGAAACTATAGCGGAAAAAAATATAAATTCCTTACCACAGTTACCGTTTTGGAAAGTTCCTGATTATAGCCATAAACATTTACTGAAACACTTGTGAACTACAAATATGGACACAAGTGATGAAACGAAGCTCTACAGAAATCATTGAGACGCCACAAACAGGAGGATTTTAGGTGCACCCAATAATTTTCACATGAAACACATTCTCAAGCATCCTCCTGCACCATAACTGCCTTCAGGCCTAAAAGCAGCTTTTGACGACTATTCTTAACAAAATCAATACAGTTCAAGCCAAACAGAAACCAGAATCACGTCAAATGCAGCCACCTAGATCAAACGAAGCAAATCAGCCAAACTGAAATCAACTCGACCACGCAAATGTCCTCAAGCTAAAGCAGGAGGCGCCACTTCAAACAGGGGATATGCCTTATCAACGCCCAAAGTTTTCCCCACATAGAAAGACATTCATAAAGCCAAAGGATCGTAGGAAACTGAAAAGACTGTCAACAAGTTACTTCAGGCGACACGACTTTAGTACACTAGGGTCAATACTTAGTACTCTTAGCTCCATCTCGCAAGCTCATAACTTGCGTATGAGAAATGAAGAATGCACCGCACTAGCCAGCACCACCAGAGTAGGTGCTCTCACAGAAATCCTAAAGAAACGAATGAATCGCCAAAGCCATAAAATTTCTCTCCTTATAAACAAGGACAAACTATCCAGCAACCATGCAGACATGTGTGAACTGTTTAACGAGACGTTTGCAGGTAACTACCTTAAGCCCACAAGTCCAATTCTCGGTTTAAAATCTACAATGGAACTCCCCTGTTCTTCAACGCTGAAACAAATCAGTACAGTTCATTTCACTCATTCTAATATTAACCAAGCCATTAATACTCTTAAAAGCTCTAGTAGCGCTGGTTTTGACGGTATACCATCGTATCTTTATAAACACGGTGGTTCTGACATTTCCGTTTTATTACTTAAGATTTTTACAATGTCCCTAGAAAGCCAAACCTATCCAGATAAATGGAAAACCACATTTATAGTACCTAAACACAAATCCGGATCAAAAACTGAAGTCAACAACTATAGGCCAATCAATATTACACCCATAGTATCTAGAATCATTGAACGAATAGTTAAAGATGATATCCTCAAACATGTGCTCAGCTGCAATATTCTAAGTCCCAACCAACATGGATTCCTAAAATCCAGATCATGCATGACATGTCACCTTGACTTCTTTAACTACATAACTAGCAGCCGTGACAAACAACAACTAGTACTTGTCATCTACTTCGACATATCCAAAGCCTTTGACCGCGTTGACCATCTGCTTCTAACAAATAAGCTAAACTCCTTAGGAATAAGTAACCCATTGTTAGGATGGATTGAATCATTCCTTAACAATAGGTCCCAAGTAGTTAGACTGGGTTCTGTAAATTCTAAACCTAGTCCAGTCACTTCTGGGGTAGTTCAAGGTAGCGTCTTAGGCCCCCTCCTATTCACTCTATATGTCAACGACATATGCAGCTGTTTCTCACTTGGCAAACCATTCATCTTTGCAGATGATCTTAAAGTAGCTTACAAGTTCCACTGTGATGACTTAGGGTACTTTCAGAAAGCTGTTCAGGAAGAACTAGATCGAGTAACTGCATGGTCCTCTACATGGAACCTAAAATTCAACCTTAAAAAATGTGGTTGGATCTGTTTCGGTGCACCCTCAATAAATATTAAACTGGTACTTGAATCTCTTGACTTACCTAAACTCCAAAGTGTTGTTGACCTAGGACTCAGGTACTGTAGTGACCTGACATTTTCTGAGCAAGTGGCGACACAGACGCGTAAATCGAGGATGCTCTTAGGATGCATACTCAGGAATTTCCACAGCTTCGAAGCAAAACTATTATTATATAAAACTTGTGTCAGACCACTACTTGAATATTGTCCATTCATTCTCAGCAGCACTCGCGTAAGTGACAAACTTAAAATAGAAAGTGTTCAACGATACTTCACGTCTAAACTACTAGGATTTGACTGCGAAAAGGACTACACATCAAGGTGTATAACTCTAGGTATCGACCCACTCTGGATGAGACGACTCAGCATTAACCTAACATTTTTCTTTAAAATATTGCATAAAATATCATTCTCAGACAGTAGGGAGATACAGTTCTCACCGGAAGGCTCTTACAATCTTCGTAACCAAACGTGCACAGTATCCAGGAAAAACTGCAAGACAACACTCCGTGCAAACTTCTTCATAATCATGTACTCTAAGATCTGGAACAGTTTACCCCTAGAAATAAGGACCTGTCACTCTATCATAACCTTCAAACGCTTGCTATATGAACTGCTTCATCCTAATGACTATGCCAATCACACCGCACCACTTATTTCTAAAACGCATGAGCTATTAGAACACTATAACGCCTAGACTCATTACTAAATATTATGACACTAAATAAACTCTAAGACTTCGCAAAAATACATGAAAGAACAACTGGATTATAGGTAGTGTTTACTATACAATGATATACATTTATAAACATTTATATATACATAAAATATTAACGTCCTGTTCATGTTTACATACTTTCTCTTTCTGTTATTAAATCCTGAGCCTGCACTTCTATAAATCTCCTGGTCGAGGTCGAACAACCCATCATCTAAACTGAAATGACCATTTAAGTAAATTCAAAATCAAATCCCATGAACGATCCGATGCAACCACTTGAAAACGCTGGCTAACATTCTGTACAAGGAGTATTCTTGATCTGAAATAAAGAAGCAACTGGTTTTCAAACAGTTTTCAATGTATTACTCAACTTATATGTACAGTCTGCCATGCTGACGCAAATGGCGGCAATGGATAATTTTAGAATCGACCTCGGCCCCATTTAATGCAGTAAAACAATCTAACATGGACTTATCTAATTTTCGTATCAAAGATCAAATTTCTTTCCTATTATAAAACTACGATTATACTGGTGAAAAAATGGAATAAATACATCATCGACCTCAGAATAATACATCAATAAACTTTAACTCAAGGATGCTGCTCACAACAAAGTTATATAGGAGAATTGACTTCAAGCTTTATTTTTCCCAGATATCTGTATAACATTCATCTGAAGTCTGGGTTTTTTTGTTAATGCGAAGACAATATTTCTATATCTCTTTATGTGTTACACAGACAGACTATTTTGCAGACTGTTCTGACTGACTCTAATGTCAGAAAGAACAAACAAACTGTAATTTATATAATAACTTATCCGTGCCTGTACAACTGGTATGTTCCTGCATAAACAGGAATAAATAAATGGAGATAAATGAAGATTGAGCGTTATTCAGAATATTTTTGACACACACGACGAATCACGGAACAAATTCCATTCTGAATTCTGTTTATCATCGCAAAGTTAGTCTCTTGTATCTGTTAATACCAAAATAATGCTGTACTTACCCGCTACTATGGAGTTTTTTAATTTTTGAACCCTTATTAATTGACAAAATGATAATGATCACAAGGCCTGTATCCTGTATGTCTTACTCTAGCACATGTATATCACATCTCTCATTACCTTCCATTAACGCAATATTTCGTAATTCCCGCATGAATTTGACTGACTATAAGTATCTTGTAGACTATAAATTAGACTTGAAACAATATATTGTAATCTATTCTAACAAAGTTTCTAGAGGTTATTCTTTCCATTTTTCAAATTTTTAATGTCAAAAAACAGTGTTCCATTTCAAATTGCACTTGTCGAATATGATCATGCCTGTACAAACGGTATGTTAATCATGTAAATGCTTAATTTATGTGAAAAATATAAAAGACAATCTGTATCTCTTTTATTTATCATTTCGAGGATATTGCATAGTTGACGAGAATGATAGACAACGTGGTAATACTTGTGGGAAATGCGTCAAATTCGTAAACGGTTATTATTTCCTCAGTGCGCCACCAAGCCCCGGTTGCGCATAGTATTAGTATGCATTGGTGTTAAGAGGAAAATAGCCGTCGAACTTTTGTTTGTATTGCAATAACGAAATATAACCTAGCAAACGTATGTTCCATATGTACACGACTTGTATTGGTAGTCAAGGCACCTAAAGCACACTATGGCACGTATATTTTATTTATCACAGATGGTCTATTATTCTTGTGCTGCGTATAACAGTACCGTATTGGAGGAAATCTGTAGGTAATAAAAAGACGACTACACCACTTTCTTGTGTTAGCATTTATTGTCAACAGGCTCTTACATCATCATATTGCCAATTAGGCTGTAACTTTTTACATAGGCCTCTGGTGCCTACGGTCTAATAGCGGAAGTAATTACTGGGAAGCAATGAAAGTGCCTCACTACACCCATTTCAATTACATGTAATTGTGACTTTTTACGCACATTACGCATTCCAATTTGAGTTCACTTTTCACTTCGACAAACAATAAGTATTATTAATGCATAAATATATTTTAAACTTTTATTTCCACAGATGTATTCGCAGTATCACAAATGTTTCATCCTTCACACGTATCTCCTCTATTTATGCTTCAAGAAAACCTATACACAAGTTGAACGATTGCAGAAGTAACGATCGTAACGTGGAAAATAAAAACAGTAAAAGATGTGTTACAGAACGTGCGTTGGTGGCACAGTGGTTAGGACGCTCGCCAACTATGCACATGGTCCAGGGTTCGATCGCCAGCCGATGTACACTTGATATCAGTGGTCGGCTGATATCACATGCTGAAAATTCCATACCTGTATCAAAGATACTGTGCAAAGTCAAGCTACAATAAAAAATTAAATAAGTGCTACGAACCCAGCTAACATTTTCTTCAGGCGCACAGCCAAACATGAGACAAGGCCCCTAAGTCAGCCCCAAACATTATTCAGTGCGCCCGAAACCTGCCAAAAGAATTCTGAGGTGCCCTCAAAGTCACTGCTAGCTGGTTGGAATGTTGTCTCTCCACTGTTATCTTACCAAATAATCAGCCCACATTCCTTTACAACTGTATAATCTCGTGGGTATTAGGAAGTTTTCATAACCCGTATATTTGAAACACTTAAGTGTTTCGAACATAATTCCCTAAATGATGAGGAAATCTTCATCATTTAGGAGAATATGCTCCATTCACCTAAACTGGTTCACATTTCTTGCCGTTATTAACAATTTACGAGAAATTTTAACATTCTTGATGTACAGCGACAACTCAGTTCGATGACATGTCAGAAATGCATTTCTGGTTGCAATCAGATTTTCAGTCAAAATGTTGAAAACGACTACTTTCCTCCATTTTCAAGTTTCCGTCTTCAAGTTTTTTGGCATTTGCAATGAATTTCAGTTGAGAAAACGACATTAAACAACCCAAACACAACATCACGATAACAGCTGATTGCTGCAGAAATCAGCTGTAACACACAAGAGCAACAGCCACAACCAACGAAGGAAGAAGACGAAGAGGGCGAGAGAGGTGTTTATTTGAACCAAGCAAGACTTGAATTAACCGGGTACAAAGCTAATTGTCATCATTTATAACAAGCCTAGACAAACGATCTTCCTCCTGCTCCAGTAAGGCCACGTCAGCGTTTGTTTCCGAAAAAGAAAAAAACTTATTTAGTGGCATTATGCTGGTTTTTATGTCATTTCATAGCTGATGTTTTTCGTTACAGAGAGAAAACTTCGTGCTATCAAAAGATCGTTTCAGTTTGTACATGTCCAATATCGTTTCTACGAGCTAGTGTAAGCTAATTGTATTTCTTTCTTCTGGATCCTTGGCTGAAAGGTAAGGGTTCGTTATCAAAAGTGATCTTCTGCATAGTTCCACCCACCTCTCCACTGTCAAAGCTTTGGTTTACTCGCAAAGGAGTGTTGCTGGGATTGGTTGTGAGTGGTTTATAGTATGCGGTGCCTCAAGATCGTGTTGCTGTTGTGAATGGAGCTGATCCTTT